TATCTTATCTGATCATCCGAGCGCAGTGATCAGCGCCGAAGAAATCCCGTCTCAACCTCTGCTGCTACCAATGGGCAAACTGTTGATGACGGGGTAAAGGATTGGAGTAGCAGGTAACTCCAAAAGTGGGGTATGTGTGAGCGATGAAGTAGGAAGGCGGCTTGGGGCGCGAACCTCCGAATCCCGGACTTAGCCCGCCCCACCAATCGAAATCTTATCAGATGGATTCTGGACGCATCGTGACCAGCCAGCTCCAATTCGATCAGAAGAGGCTTTCATCTTGGAAGTATCCACGGCTACGATGACGACAGGAAAGAATCTGCGAATAGGCGTTGACGTCGGTGGGCATGTACTGTGCATCAGAACTACGAGAGCCATGAGGCTAATACTGCGCATAGAACCAACACTGACGGAGTCATCATTGATCCTATAAGATCGGGTGAAGATGACCGGGGAATTGTTGCTTGGTACGAGTCCTATACCCATACGTTGAACGCCACGCTTCCTTGCTCCTTCATAAGACCCAAAGAACATCCATGATGATGCCTACCGGAAGTCGATCACCCCCTGATGAGAACGCGAGCTCTTACCATAACTCAGGCACAAGGCACCCACTACTACCGACCCAAGCCATGGCATCGCCGACGCCATCACCACGATGTTCAAATCCGCCTCAGTCGATCCATCCTCCGTTGCGAGCGTGACAATCGGAACGACCCACTTTGTCAACGCGGTCGTAACCCGCGACCGAACGCGTCTTTCTCAAGTCGCCGTCCTCCGTCTCTCTGGGTCTTTCAGCAAACATGCACCGCCATGTGTCGACTGGCCAGCTTCTCTTCGTAACATCATCCTTGGACACTATGCGCTCATCAAAGGAGGGCTGGAGGTGGATGGAAGCCTGATCTCCGACATCAAAGAGCACGAGATAGTAGAGCAATGCAGGATTATCAAAGAGAAGAAAATCAAGAGTATAGTCGTGAACGGCGTCTTCAGCCCTATCGATACGGTAGAGAAGCAAGAAGAGCGTACTGCGGACATCATTCGGCGTGAGCTAGGAGCCGGTGTCGATATCGTTCTTAGCAAGACCGTCGCAAACCTGGGATTCCTAGAGCGCGAGAACGCTGCGATACTCAACGCCTCGATTCTGTCATTCGCCAGGAAGACGATAGCATCATTCCAGACACCAATCAAGGCACTTGGACTGAACTGCCCTGTTTTCATTACCCAAAATGACGGCACGATACTGAGTGGCGAAGCCGCAAGCCGACTACCGATCCGAACATTCTCATCCGGCCCAACGAACAGTATGCGTGGTGCTGCTTTCCTTGTCGGAAGGCAAGAGAATGGCGAAGCAATGATGGTTGTGGATGTCGGTGGAACTACCACCGACGTGGGCTTGTTGCTCGCAAACGGCTTTCCCAGGCAACAGGCCGCGTACTCGGAGCTTTCGGGTGTGAGGATGAACTTCTCGTATCCCGATGTGAAGAGTATAGGATTAGGAGGTGGTAGCTTGGTGAGAAGAGTTGGAGAGAAGATGCAAGTGGGGCCGGAGTCCGTGGGTTATAAGCTACCAGAAAAGGCGCTCGTCTTCGGTGGTGATGTTCCGACAGCGACTGACTACACCGTCGCTGCTTCATCCGAGGTTGCGATTGGCCAGCCAGAAAAAGTACGAGGGAAGCTGCAAGACGATGACATCCAAGCCTTCAAAGTTGAGACGACAAAGATGCTTGAATCAATCATTGACAAGATGAAGACATCACCTGATGATCTTCCCGTCCTGCTTGTCGGTGGTGGTGCAGTCATAGCTCCCGACGAGTTGAAGGGAGCAAGCAGAGTAATCAAGCCTCAATGGTCCGGTGTAGCTAACGCTATTGGTGCTGCAATGGCGCGAGTGAGTGCCGTAGTCGACACGGTCAAGTCTACGGAGAAGCAGACGCAGAAAGAACTACTAGCTGAAATATGCGAGGAGGCCAAACGGAAGACCATCGAAGCAGGTGCATCAGCGGAGACGGTCTCTATCGTCGAAGTGGAGGATCTACCATTACAATACGTAGCCCACAAAACACGGTTTATGGTCAGAGCTGCGGGAGACTTTGACTTCTCACGAGCTGGAGATTTCATAGATCTGAACGTCAACCAGGAAGGAGGCAACGTAGAGACTGGGTCAAAGGGTACGGGCGATGCCATCGCAGCACCTTCGACCGAAGAGGCTTCTAGCGAAGTTGATGCAGCAACGGAGGTTGACATCGTTGCGTATAAGCCCAAAGTAGCCAACCGAGAGTGGTGGATATCTGAGACCGATCTCGACTGGATCACCATCGGCTGCTACATACTCGGTACTGGCGGCGGAGGTTCTCCTTACTCTACCATGCTCAGAGTGCGTGGTATCCTACGGTCTGGTGGGAAAGTTCGCGTTGTCAGCCCAGATGATCTCAAAGATGATGCGCGAGTGGGAAGTGGTGGCGGTGCTGGTAGCCCAACTGTCGGCATCGAGAAGCTGTCCGCTGATGAGTAAGTCATGTATTGGCATCACGCCATGTCTCTGCTAACCTTCATTCAGAATGATGGATGCTCAGAATCACCTCTACGATCTCATCAAGGGTGGTTACGCGACGCACATCATCCCTCTCGAAATCGGCGGCTCGAACGGCTTGCAGGGTCTCGTATTGGGTGCATCAACTAACATGAATGTGCCATGTGTAGACGGTGACTGGATGGGCCGAGCATATCCAACAAAGTGGCAGACAACCCCGGTCGTCTTCGGCGAGCGAGAAATCGTGTTCGCGCCTGTCGCGGTGGCCGATGGTAACGGCAACACACTATACATGCCGACCGCAACGAGTGACCTCAAAGTCGAACAGGTCATCAGAGCAGCATTGAGCCAGATGGGTAGCTCCGTCGGAACAGCTGATGCCCCGGTTACAGGCGCTGAAACAAGACGTTGGGCCGTTGAACACACGATCTCGCTATCGTGGAGGATAGGGAGAGAAGTAGCACGCGCCCGAAAAGAGAACAGAATTGACAACGTCGCGCAATCAATCATCGATGCGGTTGGAGGTTCTGAAACAGGCCGTGCGCTTTTCAAGGGCAAGATTGTCGGTGTAGAGCGCAAGCTATACATGGGCCATGTGTACGGCGAGGTGATCATAGAAGCTACGGGAAGCGAGTACCAGGGCAAGATCAAGATACCATTTAAGAACGAGAACATTGCTGCGATACGGATACCAGATACCGGAGAAAGCACGACTGGAGAGGAAAAGAACGAAGACGTTCTGGCTATCGTTCCCGACCTTATCGCGGTCATTGATGCGCAAAATGGCGAGGCTATCGGAACGCCAGAGTATCGGTACGGACTACTAGTCTCGGTGATCGGTATCACCGCGAGTGAGCGCTGGACTAGTCCGAAGGGTATCGAGATTGGAGGTCCGAAGGCATTTGGGCTGGACCATCTGGAGTACAAACCTTTGGGCAAGTTTGTGAAGCCTGTCAGCGTTATCGACGAATATGACGGAAAGGCATGAGCGCCAGGCCCGGCACTTGGCTGAACTGGTTGAGTAGGTATGCGGTGTTTTAGATGTCTTTGCGTCTAGAATTACTCGGCCTGCTTTGTGCCAGGATATAACGGCAGGATGATCTTCACCGCAGCCTCGTAGCTTGTGAATAGAATACCTCCACTAAACACCGTGCGACCCAATCTCATCGTCGTGCCTTTCCAGAAACCTTTGATCCCATAATCCAACAGAACACTCTTTACAGCCTCGGCAGTACTCGTGCCTTTCGCACTCTGTGAACGCGTCTTGATAACGTCAAAAGGCTGCGTTGCAAGCGTTGTCACAACGCCTGCTACTGATCCGTTTGCGAAGTTCACCAGCGTATTTTGTTCGATATTCTTGGCCTTCTCATAATCCTTGAGGATGTTGTAGGTCCCCATTCTGAAAGCCGTTGCTGATGCTTGTTTCAGGGTAGTGCCTGCGAACCCGCGGTATAAACCGAGGATACCGTGTTCCTTCCAAATGGTGGTGGTAGCGTGGAAACCGGACCGAAAGCGCCTTTCGTTCCTGGCATCGTCGATTAGGGCAGTCTTGATGCGCTCTGTGGGTGTAACTGCGGTGATCGACGCGATTACTCCCGCGGTCATGCCGGCCAACAAATTGCGCAGAGGGGAGAGCGTTCCCGTCTCTGGGTCTGCAAAAGACGACTTGATCTGGTCGAAGAAGAGAAAGCGGACGGCATCTTTGCCTACTGAGCCAAAGACCAGCGCTCCGCAGCCTTTGTATAGCGCTCTAATGCCTTCATTCTGATAGACTTGGGTCACGACTAGGAAGGGATTTCGCGGCGTCGGCACGCCCTTCTCAGCTCTTAATTGCACACGCGTTTTCGCAAACTCTAGAGGATACTGCGATTTGTATGAGTCACGGGATCTGGGCCGGAACGCCTCTTTGGACGTACCGAAAGAAAGCCTTCCACACCGCCAGCTATGCCGCCGGCGGCTAGAGAGACTACCGCAGGTGTGTTCTTGTCCTTTGAATTGTTAAACTTGATCTTTAGACATTGCGAGTGAGCTTACATCGCCGCCTGAAACCATTTGCGTCTAGGAAAATAGGGATAAAGATGATGTTGTGATGAAAAGTGACCTCGGGATGGTCGACAGAAAAGATGCAGATATAGCCGAAGCGGTTCCGTTCCGGGTGTCCTCAGCGGCATCGACCATGGAACACGAAAGCGACGCGCCGAACCGAATGATATCACGGCCATGGGAGAGGCTACTTCAAACTCAAATTGCATTCTTACGCACTGCCCGCGCATATTCAGGCTCCTGAGGTTGTCCAAAGTGTCTCGTGTGGCGCATGACGTCAGCGGGTCTTTTCAGGGCTCCTGGACGGAAGCCCGTAGACGCGACCTTCAAGGCACGCGACACCGGAAACTACTGGACTCCAGAAGCACCAATCCATTGAAACACTTATATTTCATTGGTTCCGAGGCAGATTTGCCTACTGTGACTACGCTGCCGCATCATCCAACTCGAACAAACTATCGAACCGGTTATCCCTCGCTGCAGCATAAGCCGCCATCTTCTCGTCGCCACTGTTGTCGTCGCTTTCGTCCTGCGCTCTGCTACTCAGCTTCCCCAGTTTCTTCAAAGCATCGTCCACATTCCAAGCGATTCGCTCAGCGCCTACTCTTGCGCCGACCAGATTCGGCGCGCCAGGGCCAAGTCTCAATCCGGCCAGTCGTCCTGTCACGAACAGAGGAACGTCATCGTCCCACATCAAGTCTTCATTCAAGCATGGCAGACCGCCAACGTACTTGATAGGATACTCTTGTTGGATGTTCTGAAGGTAGGGGATGGTGCGGATGTCTGACTGAATGCCAGTGGCAAAGACCATGTAGTCGATAGACGGCAATTTGGGCTCCGAATCTGTGGACGCGGCTTCACAGGCCCATGTTTTCGAGCTTTGGTCCCACGATACGGACTGGAGTTGAGTATAGGTTTGAAGCTCGATCTTTCCGTGTGCGACATGCGTATCGAGAATTTTCCTGTACCGCGGCGTCATACTTCCTCCGTTACGGGCTTGCACTATCATCTCGAAGCGTTCTATCATCGATTGGTAAATGCGATTACCAAGTGGGAGCGTTGACATACCTTCATCAGTATCTGCCGTCCAGAATTCGGCTTGCTTAAAATTCCGAAACTTGCCCACCCACTCAAGGTCCACGTCAAAGTGCTTGACCTTGAGCGGACCGCGCATGAGCATCCATACTTTGTTCACGCCTCGCTTGATTGCTAGATCTGCCAGCTGAATGCTTGTCAAGCCCCCACCGACTATGAGCATGCTAGTCGACTGGCGAGCCTTAACTTTGGCCATTACGTGAGGTGGCGGGAACTGCTTAATCTGCATCGCGTGCGCGAAACCTTCGTGCGGACGTTGAGCTGGTAGGCCGGGAACAGGAGGTATCGAGGGCGCATTCCCAGGACCTACAGCCAAAACGACGAGGGAGGCGAAACGCACGCCCTGGTCTGTTGAGACACGGAAGACTTTTCTCTCGTCCGCCATCACATCATCTGAGACGACACTGTCAAGGTCCGCTTCGTCGAACTTCGAGATATTGTCGTATTCGATGTTCATGACGCTCTCTTTCCTCAATAAATCCTTGCCAAGGCGATATCTCTTGATGACCTCTTCACAGTGAGCGTCGAACAAATCGGTACGGGGTACAAAGTAGTCCTTTCGGTCCCTTTCATCGACGTCCGGCGTGCGGCTCAAAAATCTTCCTTGCGACTTCAGGTTCTTCTTCTTTTTGTGCTTGCTCACTTCCTTCCCAGCAACTCCAGGTAGTGCTTGGATGTCTTTGTCTCTCTCTTTCTCGTACGTATACCCGAGCAGCGCATCTCGATCAGCAGGGTCGACATGGAAGAACATCGGACTTCGAAGGTAGTCAATATGAAAAGTCTTGAAGAGGCGCTTCCACTTTGACATCCAGTCTGCTCCATCGGCATCGAGTACTAGCATATCTATTGCTTCTTCGGGTGCTGTCTCATGGTCGCAGCCACAGTCCGAGTTACCGGGAGTTGACGGTGGCGTTGGCAGTGAGTCCTTGTTCGTTCGGTAGTTTTTGATGTTCATTTTCCGACCATGTTTACGAATCCAGTGGTAACGTTGATGTTCATCATCTGTGAAGGTTGCCGAGGGTGTCTGTTCACGGAGCCGTGCTGCTACTGCTAGGCCAGCCGGGCCTCCACCGATGATGAGTACGTCGTGGATGTGCATCGTGTTGCAGTCTGGGAGTAAAGGCTTGTGGGTTTACTGAAGACCGTATGTATCATGAAACGTCGAAATACTTCGAGTGTCTTGTGCCCATGTGAGTACCTGATGGCTAGCGTTCCAAATCGGGTGCATCCATCATGGTGCTAAAGGCACACGATGACGAGAACACGACTCCACGTACAAAGACGGACCGATGCCAGAGGCTCAGATCAATTCGAGCACATGTTCATTCACAGCTTTTCTGAAAAGTAGCAATTACGCGCATGTGTGAGCGGAAGTGTAGCCTATTGTGTTGATGAGAACTCGTGTATTCATTCATACGGCATGGAAAATCTCCTGGTCCTTATGGCCCTCCGTCGTTGCGGACGTTCGCCAACTGGCAGGATTACTCACGCTCGACACTCGTAATGACCTCGCGTCCTCCATTTCGATCGCGCTGGTGATAAATTGTGGGTCCTGATCCTCCCTTTGCTTCCCAAGACCGCCATTCATGTCTTCTTGACTCTCCGTCCGCCTGAAAATATCACGGAAGCCTCTAGGTATCGGTTCCGCTCTAGGTTCCGGCCAATAGGCGCGCGTGTGTGCAGACTGTGTCGCGCGTGTGACGGTATTGGCCCCGTATGTGTTCTCCGCAGTGTATGTGTTGGAGCTCCAGTTTCTTAGACCGAGAACCCGTTGTATAAGCGGATAGGTCAAGGGCAGATTGGCGCAGAGTATCGCTGTATACGACTCTCGAAGGTACCAGATCGTCCACTCAGTTCCAAAGGGATTTGTGAACGAGTAGTATTTGTTGAGGACTGCTGCGACGATGGTGAACGCTCCTATACAGAAGATCACGAAAAGGATCGTTTTGTTCTTCTTCGGTAGGCGTACTTTGAAGAGCAACGGCATGGGTATGCTGATGATGATTAGATCACTGGAGATGTTGAAGACGGCGTTTGTGATGAGATGATTGGTCGCTGCCGAGCATTGTTCTGGTATTGTCAGTATCGTGTGATTAGATGTTGCAAAGGCACTTACTCGAATTCGGCGGTACTGCCCAGTATTGCGAGAACGGCCGACACCAAACGCCAAGGTACAATATTTCCATGACCACAAATGCGACAGCGACATATATGGAGGTGGCGATGACGATCTTGTGTTGCGGGAGGACCATCGTCATACGGTTGTACATAATGAGTAGGCATGCCTTGACCAGCCATATGGTAAGGAGTTGCATCTGCTCTACTACCAAGACCAGCTTGGATCCGTATATACGCATCTTGATTTCGGCATCTGAATATTGAGAGACGTCGTCTCCCGGCGGTATTAGGTTGCCTAAGTACCGGTATAGAGTCAGCGTGTGTCTCTCTTGCAGTTTGCACATGGAAAGACGTACTGCTAGTCTTTGTGACTTCGTGCATGATAGCAATCAGCACTGTGTCGGTAGCCTTGTGTCACAATCAGTACTTGTAGTCGCTCGATGCTGCGGGTCACAAACCATGGCTACAAGTATTAAGTAATCATCTAATTGCAATAATTTCCATGATCCACGATGAATTCTTCTTGATATTAGTCGGATGATGACGACGATCCAGCACACGCCGTAGAAAATTCCAGCCTCAGGCTCAAGAACTCCGGCCATAGATAAGTGGTTGGCTCGCGAGCCGAGGTTGTGGGGACGTTCAAAGGCCGGGCCAGTAGACGGCGAGTAGTCTCGGAGTTGGTTGCTCAGGGCTTTAGTGGGTGTTGATCAAAAGTTGTCGTAAATATCAGGGGAAATCTATCGATGCGATAGGGACCACGGTGCGTTGGGGAAACAGAGTAAATCGATGAAGAACTGCCGAGCGTCCGGTCAGCAGCCTTGTTGTGACCACAGGCGCTATGTTGTGAAGACCGGGTGTGAACTCAGCAATCACTCGGCATTTCTCTGTGATGTCGGCGGCTTTCCGTCACAAAATGCTTCATTGACAATTTGATAGGTGCTCTGGGATGTTGCTTGGTTGGACTGTTCCGGGGTGGCGCTGTGGATGGATGCCCTGGGGTGGTCGCGTCGCGCAGTGTTTCAATGGAAGTATTCGGATTGAGGAGACAGCGTTCAGAAATCGCGGACCCCCGGACCCCAAGATATCAGACTAGGCATCTAAAAGTGTCGCAAGCGCCACTTTCAATGGAGCTGTGCATCCTCGATGATCTGCACAATCGACTAAAGACGGACGTCCCTGGTCCAGCTTCGACACTTGTGGGACTCGCGGTAGCGCCAATTGGATGACGAGTTTGACGACTCAGACCTGGGTTGAGGCTGCCCAGGTGTCAGAGAGGCGCGTCCAATTCGAAGGCCGCGGCAATATGGCGATGTTGGCTGCTGACCGGAAACATTTCGCGACGATTCGTGGTACGGTTCAAGAAGAAATGTCACAGCAAATCAAATGCGTCCAATGCGCGATGGGTTTCCCGGCGCTGCTTCGGTGATTTCATGCCTGGTAGTGTTGCAAACTGCGACTTCAGGCGAGCAATATCGTAGGTATGCTATACAGCTGTTGCCAGTGTCACTAGAATTCTGACTCGCAAAAGATATCGGTAACATCGCAGCGCAAATTGAAGGCGTTAAGGAAAGTTTGGCGGTGCCCGTCAGCTTGCGTGAGTGACATCGGGTGTCCCGGCACGCTTAGTTTGACGCCTTTGGCGGGCCGTAGCCGTAAGTTGTACTGGTCCCGAGGTCAACACTCGCATAATTTTCGTCCTTGCTTCAGGCGTTCAGTCAAGGAGAAATGAAAATCGCGCAGTGACAAGAAACTCCCAGGAGCCTTGTCGCTGATACAGATAGCTCTGGAAAGAGACTGTGCTGTCATGGGTGTGCATAGGTAGTGTAGCGGCGTCGGCGCCTCAGAAGCACGAGGGCGAAGGGAAGTCGCAGCGTTCCGCCGAGTACCCCAAACCCGGGTCTCTTTCGAACACAGACATGATTGACTTCAGCACATCCACAATTGGTAGAGTCCTACCGTCCGCTGTTGGTCATGCAAATCGCAATCTCTGCGATTGAAAGACAGCGAAGACTGACCAGCAAACACATGTCACCCACAAAGGTCTTGAAGTTCAATCGCCAAACAGTCAGGTTATCGAATGCAAGTTTCGGAAACTGTCGAAAACATTGAAATACCTGCGGGATATAGACAAGGAAGACCCGACACCACGACCTTGGAAACAGCGGCTTAGAGGACTCAGCCTTCGAGAAGAAAGCTCAGACTCACCTGGGCAGTTTCAGTCGGCATTGAGCGATGGCTACTGTCAGATTCGGCAAAGCAGCACCAGGGGTGACATTCTGTCGGCGATGCGCGAACTGCACGTGAATGTGTCGTATCGCCACACCCGCGGAGGACCGAGTCAGTGGTTTCGCGTTTGCCAATGAAGAGGAACTTGAATGATCAACCCTCACGCCCGACCCACATCATGTAAGCCGTACGAACCCAGAGCAGATTCGATATAACACACATAAGGCCGACTCAGCTTGTTCGGTGACTCTTGTATCTGACACCGGTGCCGTTGCGCCGCATGTGCCAGTTTGGGGAGGACTTTTCTTTTTCTTTGAAAGGTGCTCATGGTCAACCATGACGGAGAAAGATGGAGGATGGCTTTAAAGACCTATGTAAAGGTAAGGATATGGGATCATTGGACCGAAATCCCACACAGTGATGTTGCCTAGGAGCTACACGCCGGCGTCCAGCTGAAACTTGCACTGATCTCGCAGAATTGACCCGGGCCCTCGTGAGTGCACACCTGGGCAGTCTCGCGTACCGAATTGAATATCTGAAGAGGAACTCCAAGCGATGAGGGCCACTGGAAATACTTTCAAAGAAAGTGATAGTTTGGCATGTACACTCTAGCACAGACGTGACTGCTCATACAAATACAGGCAGTTGCATGGTGATCATGGCCTCGTTCGACATGGAGGAGAGGATCAGCCCGGAAAGAGCGTTTGGTCAATCTCCATCATGCAATCTCAAACGAACAGCGGATGTATGTTTAATCATCAATGTTTTTGGGGTAGACGTTACCCATGGGATCGACGAACAGGGATAGCAAGGGGCATCAGCCCATGCTGTGCTAGGGACTCACCTGGGCACCAAGGTATTTCAACGCAAGCAAGCAGCTGCGCATACGTATCAATCCATCTGATATCGCAGCAGCGTTTGCTTATCCATAACGCGCTCCTGATAATGTAGCTACGGTAAGCAGCTCGTAGGCGTCTCGCCATCTCTCAACGAGTGACATCAACGGTGAGCTTATCGCTCCTGCCACGCCACGTGGAATCTGACAGGCAAATCTATTCTACGAAAGCCTATGCCAATTGAAGCATGTCCAGCCGGATCGCAGCGTTGAGGTATCCCAGGAAACGGTACCTCGATATGCAATCCCCGGTCGCAGATATCGGGCGGAATATTTCCGAACAAATCTTGGAACCTTGGAAGCACCCAAGGTGTCTTATCCATCGCGACCACTAATCCATTCATGTAAGCGGTCACCCATTTCCATACCTCTGTGTACCTCCTACAACTTCGCTGCACGGATCGCACAACACAAGAAAGATGGCGGTCGGAGGATACGGCTGCCCAACCTCTTGACAAGCCACCATTTTGTCGTGGGTGTCGTGTGCCCTGGCGTGTCGCAGCCCGCGATCTCCTCCACACCTCTCCCTCTAAGTTAGTCTAGCCGAACCGCCGAACCACGCAACTGATAAAGAGCAGAGAGATAGGCGTTCGCGCAGCGAATGACGAACGCCTACCACCCCTACTAAGAGATTATGACGCCGCACCCAAACACCGTTGCAGCATGGCTTCGCGTGTACTCTCCCACTTGGAGTAGTGACACCCCGCTTGCAACCCTGCTGCGCGGTGATATGCAGACTGGGGTGTGGGTGTATATAGACAAGTTGTTGCGCTTCAGTGTGTTGCTACATTCTCGGAGTAAGAATTCGTGTCGCGGCTTCTTATTTTTTTTGGCTGCGACTGCGACGGCGCGCGCATGTATTTCGCGTTGCAACGATGACGACTCCCCAGCATCGGAACCACTCCGTCGCGGAAGAACCGGTGACATCTGTTCTTCCAGATGGCGATATACCCTACGATCCCACGCATTCACTCAACCCAGATGAAGAAGTCCTAGCGGCCCTTGGATACAAATCGGAGTTCAAGAGAGAGTTTTCGCTGTTCACCACATTCTGTGTCAGTTTTGCGGTTCTGGGTCTACTGCCTAGTTTCGCGTCTACGCTCTACTATGGCATGGGCTATGCGGGAACGGCTGGAATGACTTGGGGTTGGATTGTGGCCATGGTTGGTATTCAATGTGTGGCAATGAGTATGGCGGAGCTGTGTAGTAGCATGCCCACGAGCGGAGGTTTATACTATGCTTCTGCTGTCCTGGCACCACCTGGTTGGGGACCTTTTGCTGCTTGGCTTACTGGCTGGAGTAATTGGCTGGCCCAGATCACGGCGGCACCGTCCGGCAAGTACAAACCGCTATCTCGTTTGCGACGGGTATGAACATAGAATTGACTGTTTGAGTAGTCAATTATGGAATTGCGGCCATGATACTGGCGGCGGCTAGTATCAATGACCCGTCTTACGTCCCCACGGATTATCAGACTTTCCTGTTGACGGTCTTCATCATGATTCTCCATGCGATCCTTTCCTCTATGCCGACACGTTGGCTTGCAAAGTTCAACTCCGCTGGTTCCACATTCAACTTCATTGCGCTGATTGTGGTCATCATAATGATCCCAGCGGGCACAGACCGTACAGAGCGCGGTCTACCCCGTTTTGCCCCTTCGAGCGAGGTCTGGGGCACGATATACGAAGGCACATCCTTCCCAGCTGGTATATCAGTCCTGATGTCCTTTATCGGCGTCATCTGGACCATGTCAGGCTACGACTCGCCATTCCATCTTGCGGAAGAATGCTCCAACGCTAACCTGGCTTCTCCGCGCGCTATTGTTCTGACATCCGCTACCGGAGGCTTCTTTGGCTGGTTCCTTCAGCTTGTCGTGGCATACACCGTCGTGGATATCGACCTAGTCCTCGAGTCTGAGCTTGGGCAGCCCTTCGCTGCCTACCTGATGCAATGCATGTCGCAGAAGATGACGCTGGCCATCCTCGCCCTCACCATTATAGCCGGGTTTAGCATGGGTCAAGGATGTATGATTGCGGCAAGCAGAGTGACATTCGCGTACGCGCGTGATGACTGCTTCCCGTTATCCAAGTACTGGAAGAGGGTCAACAAACACACACAGACACCTGCGAATGCCGTTTGGTTCAATTGCGCGATCGGCATACTGTGTCTGCTGCTCATATTTGGCGGCGAGCTGGCTGTTGGAGCGCTGTTCTCCATTGGTGCCATCGCAGCTTTCGTGTAAGTGCTGGTAAGCATGGTGTGCGTGCTCTACTAACATCTGATAGCGCCTTTACCATACCCATTGCTATCCGCGTTTTCTTCGTGGGCAATCGCTTTAGACCGGGTCCATGGAACTTGGGGAAGTACTCCAGCGCTATTGGCAGCGTTGCATGCATCTTTGTCTTGCTCATGATACCTATCTTATGCTTCCCCAGCGTAACCGGACCGGACTTGACGTAAGTCTCACTAAAAAATTCACGCTGCTTTGACAAGACTAACGCACCAATAGCGTGGCAGACATGAACTGGACATGCGTCGTTTACGGTGGTCCGATGTTCTTGGTAACGATATGGTGGTTCGTTTCCGCACACAAGTGGTTCAAGGGCCCCAAGGTAAACATCGAGCACATGATGCTTGGACGGGAAGAAGCCGTTCTGATCGGACAGGGGTCAGTGGGCGATGGTAAGGATGGTGATAACTCGTTGGGTGATATGAAAAGTCCGGAGGAGATCACAAAGTCGTAAATTAAGGTTGAACATGGTGTGCGGAAACTCGCATGAGCAGTATAACAGGGCATGCTGTATTACTGAGTTTTCTCGGGCCTACTGTTTGAACAGGAAAATATACCAATTAGTCTGAATGTGTACATGGACAGTGATGCACCGGCTAGGACATGATCCTCACAGATACATGTGGTCACACAAATAAGCCTAATTTACCCAGAGGATCCGCCGGGGCTACACCTGGGTTCGTTCGTGTCACACAATGAGCTTTGCGGGACCACATATTCGTATAAGCATGGTGTCGCGACTTTTGGGTGGGTCAGGTGCTGGTCAATGGCCCCGCGCTTCGGCTGCAAGACGGCGTGTCGCGGGGCACATGAGCGAACTTACGCCACCTTTGATCGGCAAGCTGGAGACTTGATTGAAGCAGTGTATGGCATAACTACATCCAAGCTGATGTGTTCGCCGCACCTTGTGAGATTATAAATTCTATATTGGGCCACTATGCCATCAACCAACTACTCAACCATCAGGTTGATCAATCTTCAGTAGTATAGTGGTCAGTATTTCCGCTTGTCACCTATCAGGCAACTCGCGGGAGACCGGGGTTCAATTCCCCGCTGGAGAGCTCTCATTTTTTGTTTTTGCGTGTCAGTCGAAGACCCCAGCCATGTCATTCCACCGGCAGGATGTCCATTGGTTTGAGGTCGGCAATCCCATGCATCCTTTGGAGAATCTGCACTTTTTTTTTTCCGATGCAAGTCACGTCACAAAGTCAACGCTAATGTTGGTCTATCGTGAGTGTTATGTCGTACTTCGTTCAAGTCCTTGCCAAGGGCGTGGCTCGCGTCTGCGATGCCTCCGCCGATGCGACCCTCGCAGCTACCTCCGTCCCCACCATACTCCCCGAACCGTCCGGAATATTTCGAGACACCACGATCTTCAGAACATATCTCAGAGCTAACAGCCCAGATGTCTCCTCACTATCATACTCTAATGCGCAGAAACGACGCGTGCCGCGACGCTGTAAAACGAACAGCATGCGCGTCGGCGGTATATTGACCAAGACCATCAGGGCGCACCGCTCCGTCGGAACTCCATCAGCCTCCAAATACTGATGAGGCTCTTTCGGAAGCCTCAATCTGTTTCAGATCTACATTATGCTTCATTGTAGTGACGCTGACGCCAACCAAGCCAAGACTGACGAGAGGCCAAGGTATCTCCCCGAGCAGCAGAAACATGTAATGCAATGAACTCGTCAGCTCCAAACCGTACTGAGAACTTGCACCAAAATACATGTCTCCATTTACACCATCCCTTCGACAATCTCCGTTCAGAACTCGCGTATTAGAGCAGGCCCAGCAAGTCCGTGGGCGGGATGTGTAACCACACTCCGCAAATACCATACCTGACCGCAAAGTCCGACCACAGCGCGTTCGCTGTGTAAGCCTCCGTCATGCACCAAATTGGAGACAAAATCCGCTAGTAGTATAATCTGCCTAGAAAGATCAATGCCAGAACCTCTGTGCTCAAGACAAGCACAGCGAAGCTCTTGGGACCGGACATGCCAACGCCGCCAACCCGGGCTGGCTGTCAACCTGACGCCCATTGACCACGAATACACAGCCGCATAATCCGGCGACGTTGGCATCCCAAGAGAATACCGCCGTAGCATTCGTCACCTCGTGTAGCTTGTCATCTCGACCATGTCTTGGAAGGACCTCTTCCAAGTCCCTTTTCTACCCCCCTTCTTCTTCTTGTTTACACATACATACATAGCTAGCACCCAGTAGCAATAAGATGTTCGGACATCCAAGCTACGCACCCATCTCCATCCCTTCGCCATCCCCTTCCACTCGTTCCAAAGCCATGTACGCACCTCCGCGCTTCCTCACGGGCAAGTTCTTCATCTGGCTCTGTCTTTTCCTCATCGGCTTCCCCATCCTCCTCTGGAACCACCCAAACTTGGAGAACCTCTCCGTTCCGTATGCCCGACCCCAACCGCGACCCAACGCCCAATTCGTTGCCCACGGCGACTCGAAATGCTTACCTGAAGTGTCGGCTGAGCTCATCGAAGCAGCGACTGCGAAACGCGCTACTTGTCGGAAGTACTCACCTTTTGCAACGGGGCGGGCGCGCATCGCGACTGTGACGGCGCATTTCGGCAAGCCCCAGGAACACTATCAGAAAGCGCTCAAGACGCATCTCCAGCATGCGCTGGTGCATGGTACGGAGATTAGGGTCATGTGCGATCCGATTGTCGATGATCTGTGGAACAAACCTGCTTTCATTCTCAACCTACTCATGCGGGAGATGTTGAAGCCAGAGAAGGAACGGTTGGAATGGATACAATGGGTCGATCGAGACACCATCATCCTCGACCAGTGCCGTCCGATATCGAGTTTCCTGCCACCAGAGAAAGCGCGCTTCGGTTCTTGGTGGCGCCGCGACGACGACGAAACAACGTCAGCACCAGCAAACACAACACACCTCCTCGTAACACGCGACTGGAACGGTCTCAACAACGGCATCTTCCTCCTCCGCGTCAACGCCTGGGCCATCGAACTCTTCACCGCCATCCTCGCATTCCGCCACTACAAACCGGAGATCGACCTCCCCTTCACAGAGCAATCTGCCATGGAAGAGGTGCTCAAAACAGAGCAGTTCAGAGACCAAGCGAGATATGTGCCGCAACATTGGTTCAACGGGTATGAAGAGGAGGGCACGCAGAAGTTTCTGGAGAGGGAAGATGTGGAGGGGTTGAAGGAAAGGGATGTGAGGAGGGGGGATTACCTTGTTCATTTTGCGGGGAGGGGGAACAGGGGCACTTTGCTGATGGCGTGGAGTGGTATGTTGGAGGGTGCAAGAGATGTCTGGGAGGAGGGTAGGGTGCAGAGAGATGTTTCGGGTGAGGTCGCGGAGTTTTGGAGGGATCTTGGGTATGGGGTATGATGGCATGTTTGGTAGCTCTTTTGTTTGTTCAGAGATCGTCTTATTCCAATTGTATTATATACTCTTACAATTCAATAATAGCTCGAGCTTGGTGCATAGTCCGCTTTTGTGCCTGGGAAAGCGCCGGCGGGAGGGTTGCGGTCATCCTCGTCCGCGCTATCGTCTTCGTTTCCTTCGAATGCTTCGCTTGGATCTGGTGGTGCCCGCATGCGGATCAAAGCATCCTCGTCGAGTGCCGGGACAATGAACATCTTGGTGGTATGGTACTCGCGTCCAGAGGGCATGCTTGCTAGCAATGGCTCTGAGGGAGGTACTATTTGAATGCCAACCTGATACAGTCAGTTAATCATGCGCAATAAACCAGCCAAGGCGGGTATACATACAGTGTCGTTCTGTTTTTCCCACTTCTTCAACAACATATCGACAATCCGTCCTTCTTCGAACTTGCCAGCATCGGTTCCCCAGTCCACACCTTTTTCAATCTTACGATCTTCCCGCTTCTCCTGCCACTCCTTCTTCAGTTTGGAGAAACCAGATGACTTCTTCTCTTCTTCCGCGCCCAGCGATGCAAAACCCAGCTCCTTCTTTGCGCCTCGTAGCCATGCGATGCCGTCGCCTGTTTTACCACCGCCTTCAGCATCGCAGGCAAGGAACCGACACGCCTTGCCTTTGGCGGTCCGCCTCAGATCATCCACATATTTCAGCAGATCGTCATTGATCTTGGAAGACCGCCCCAACATAGCCTGGGCTTTCGCAGCGTGTTCTGAAGAAGCAAGGCACAGTCGAGCGAAGAGATGCGCGCGGACCTTGGGTATATCGACGCCCCTAAACATCCAGTCTTTGTTCTGCTTGTTCCGGTCTTCTATCACGACCGCTGGGTATGGATCGTCCTTCAGGACGGTGATGAGTGTAGCTTCAGCCATAGTGAGCTCCGCCAACGCTCCCAGCACAGCCGCGGATATGTCTATAGCCGCGGGCTGTGAGTTGTACTGCCCTGCGCGGTTCACCAAGTATGTATGTATGGAGTTTGCTTCGAGAAAGTGCTTCATAGCAGCGCCGATCGCGGTTGCGCGTTGTTCAGGTGAGGGTACGGTCGCATTGTAGAGGGTGTGTAGCTGTGCTCGAGCCTGGAGGCTGTATACGTATGCCAATGTCGAGAGAGTATAGCAGAGCTCGCTCTCAAGACTCTTGAGCTTAACTCTTGCTGGCTCGCGGCCCGGTATCGAAGAGCCCAGCGTCGAGCGCCATTCTACTTCCAGCTCCTTGACCAAGACCAGGTCGATCTCTTCGCCGGCGCAGCTTGCACCACTCAGTCCCGCATCGAGGGCGAACAGGTATGGTATGTAGTCGTTGAGGGCGGATGTTACGGTGGAGAGGTTCGAGGCCTGTGAGGCAGGCGGTATGCGCTTGTGTCGCTTGAGTACGTCTCGAAGGACGCCTCGCGCAGTGGTCGCGCAGTTCGGCAGGGACGGATGGGTGCTGCTGTTGAAGTATTCGGTGAAGGAAATACTGGAAGTAGTGGGTAGGACGAAGGGGAAGGGCATCGTGTTGACTGTTGACAGTTGCTGGTCGGAGCGGCTGTTGACGCAGGTACGCGATGGTAGCGGGGTTGAGGAGCTAGCCTTGGCTTCATCATGTCAAGGACCTGGGGAGCCACAAAGAGTCCGACATACGCGTCTGGAACAGAAGACCTAGAAATTTGAGGTTTCACGTCAGTAGGAAAAGAAAATACACGAACTGTACCACTGCAATTGTACACTTGATCCAATAATTCGTGCTACATCGATCTCTCCTCCGGCATGTATATGTACAGTTTCGCCAGTACGAGAGAAGTGGTGCGTTTCTTCAGCATACGCTTGCCGAACGCCATAAACCCTTGTCTTCGTCTGATGGTGTCTCCCGCTGCGTGTCGTGTATGGTCTGCCTGTTGTCCGTCCTTCATGCGAGCGATCACCGCTGTTGGCGGGCCGCTTATCGCTTCAACGCATCGTCGACGTAGTTTTGTTGGGCAAAGAGGTATCCCTTGACCTTTGCGTCTTTGAGGAGCTCGAAGTAACGCTCTGTTCAGC